GTCCAAAGGCCTCTTTTTGTACAATCTTTGTCCAAGCTGACATAATTCTCTTTAAACCCATGAGTTTCTCATGCGTCAATGTATAATCCATCCTGTTACACAAAAGCCGCCCATCGGTCTGTTGGAAATAGTCCTTTTTCTACGTTGGGCTCTCAGTGAGGCTGATGAACAACATCCTGAAGATTCTAAGACGCTTTGGCAGGGTCTACAGGCATGCCTTTAAGACACGCTGAGGGCCATTTGTGTGTCTGAAATGGCTTAAGAGGCACTGTCATCTTTCTGAGGTCTTGAAAAGAGAATCTCGTCCCACTTGGGATTTGGTCTTTGCCTGGAAGCCATTTCTGAACGTGAGAACACTTTGCTGGCTGAAAGGGCTGTTAGGATCCTTTGTATTTCTTCCAAATTCCATTTGGGAACAGAATAATTTGTTCTTTATACCGTTTCTCTTTTCATTTTAGAGAGCTAGAAAAAGCCAGGTGGCACCAGGCTACACGCTGCCTGGAAATCTTACCCAGATCATTAAGCTCATTAGGTATATTTTCTATTTTCCGTGATAGCACAGGCAACAGCTTTGCCAACTTCACTGCTTCAAAAGGGTCTCTTTCTTCTAGCTTTTCTCACTGTTTTTTTATCCATCATTCGCAAGCCCAAGGTCAAGAACATAGGTAAGCATGCCCTGGTTCAGCGGGAAGGAAATGCAAAATTACGTGGATATAGGGAGGTAAAGAATTTGGGGCCAGTAACAATCTGCTGTGTAATTTATTTACATATTCTTAGACTGCATTGATAGTAATGTAGTAATAGCTAACACCCATCCATCGATTGCTCTGAGCCATGCAGTGTTCTAAGTATTTTGTAAGTATCAGTTCATTTAATTCTCACGAGCAACCTATCTGGTAAGTCTAATGTTACTTTCATTTTACAGATGAGGACACTGAGGCCCAGAGCAGATAGATAACCCAAAGTCGGGTAGCCAGTAAGTCATGATGCCTGGATTGGAAGCACAGGGCCGGATGCAAAGCCACTCTTGCTAGCAGTTCTAGTACCTAAAACAAAAGTATAAGCCTGCCCTTCTTTGAACTGATCAGTCCACCCTTGGAGTCTGTGTGTGTGGGGACATCACAGACCAAAGGCTGTCCCAAAACCAGGCTGTGACAAGGCTGCAAACCCACTCCAATGTTCGATTATTTGGGGCCCTTCAGCTAGAATTCTAAGACAGAAACATGCTTTCCAGTATTTAAAGGCTCTTATGCGAAACAGGAGTGAGAATTACATTCTATAGCCACAGGGAAATTGCAGGTTTGAACTGACAAGCATTTATGAAGTGCCTCTATCAGCAAGAACACTACTTGGAGAGTCAGAGATTAGAAAAACAAACAAAACAAAACAAAAAAAACTCCCTGTCCTGGAGGAGTTTCCACTCTACAAGGGGAAGGAGGCAAACCTGGGCTCGCCATCAGGCCTTTCTGAAGAATTTAACAGCTGGGCAGCGTCCTGTGTCACGCCATGGAGAAGCGGGTGTCTTTCCCCTGAAGTACCTATGTAGGTTCTGAAATCTGACCTGCCCGGGCAGTGCAGACGGCACTTCTGCAGGGGGTGGGGGAGGTTGAATTGCATCTCAAGCCAAGAACTGCTGATGAGAATAAAAGCTCCAGAAAGACGGAATTTTGTGGGTTGTGTTCACTGCTATATTCTCAGGACCTAAGACAGTTCCTGGTGGGTGCTCACTATTTGAATACGTGAAAGAATGTGAACATTTTAAAACCAGATTTCACCTGCACTTGTTGAAAAATTGGAAGATTTGAGAGCAGTGGGCCCATATATCTGTCCGCACAGAAGTGAAGAACACACGGTTGTTCGATATACCACTAGTCCAGCTTTATTCGATTACATCGTCTCGTCCCGGACTTGGCAGCCTCTGGGTTAATCACTGAAATCTCTGCCAACTCTGTCTATATAATCAAATCTTATGGTAAAAATTTGGAGGCAGAATTCCAAAGTGGAAAAGTTTCTGTCAATAACAGGTTTGAATATTAAGAAAATATTAAGCATTGTTTGAATATTAAGAAAATTACATGATACTTGCATTACATTTCATTAATCAAATCATTCAAGGTAAGTTTTTATTACTTTCATAATGTTGACAGAAAATAGATGAATCACCTATTCTAGAAGCAAGGGAAGAGAATAACTTTGTTTAAATGAGAATTTTTTAAATATATAAATATATACAGTATATCATATGCTATATATGATATACTGTATATATAAATATATACAGTATATCATATGCTATATATGATATACTGTATATATAAATATATACAGTATATCATATGCTATATATGTTACATATATAACATACAATATAATATATAATATATAAATCTTCCTGGAAGTTCTGATCTATTTTGATAAGAGAAACAGACACAAAAGGATTATTCCACTATTTTTTGAAAATTGTGAAACATACGTTTCCTACAGAATACAGTTTAACTGCAGCAATAACTTTTGAACACCAGGGTCACAGGAACTGAGACAAAATTTAGAAACAAATGATCACCTTAGCTAGCGGGGCTGGAATGTTTGAGCAATGTCTTAGAAATTAAAATTATCCTGAAAGAATCCTTCCTAGTCATCCACTCATGTGTAAGCCAAGACAGAAACACACTTCTAGGCATCACTGGAGTGCCACAAGGATATGAAGAATGAAATCATTTTGATGTCTTCTGGTTGGATGAAGATCTTTATTCTCATTAGGGTCATTGTCCTCTGTTAGAACATTCCTCCATGTTGTCTAGAGGAACAACAAATGTGTTAGACAAGGGTTGTTCATTTCAGATATCAGGTTTGTCTCTTCTTATAGGTGAATCCATGGATAAAGTAGATTAATATTACATTTTAAATTCCATTAATGAAATTCAAAATTATAGGATATTTTCCATTTTCTTCACTCTAGAATATTAGTTCATATCATTCTAGGGAAAGTTTGCCAATAAAGGTGGCTGGACATCCAACTTACACACCCATCACCCATGTGGTCCCATCAGTTCTTTTTCTCATGTAGGTTTGTCTATAATTTTATCCTGCTGTTCTTTGCCAAGATTTGTTTTTGCCATTATGAAGGTACTGGTTTCCTAAGCTTGTGACCGGCTTGGTGGTGAGTGTTGGTAATTGCTAAGTGCTGAAGGACTGTGCTGCTCCTTTAACACAAGAAACAGACATTCTCCCCTAGATACTTGTTTCCTAATACGTACAATAGATACGCATCAGAATGATCGAGACATCTTGGATGAACTTCCAGTTTTTCCCTATTGATTTCCTTTCACAGTAGTATAGATCACCATGATAAACTGCTTCAGTGAATAACTTCTCAGGGAAAGCAGAAAGCGTAAGCAATAAACCCAGTTTGATTGAGGAGAACTATGAAGATGTCAGCAATAGAAACAATGCTCCTTTCAACAATAATAAACACATACTTTCCCAGCATCCCAAGACAGATTTTAACATTGACTTGCTGTGCTCAGCAATGTGAAAATGTTCTGGTCCCTGGGAAATCATTTTCTGGGATGCAGGAAATAAACGCACCCAATTCTGAATTTTTGCCAATAGCTAACTAAGATAAAAAAGTCACCAATTTGCTAGTTGTCAGAGCCAAGAATTTAACTGCATCCAAGAAGTTAGGATACTGGCTTTGCATTCTGATTTACAGAAATAGAACTTTATTGACAGAAAAAACAGCATATGTCATATAAGAAGAGGCTTCGTCAAAATCACTCCATTTCATACACTTAATGTTCATGTAAGAATGAAGACTTCCAGATATTTTTGATGCTTAAAATATTTCATGTCAAGTATTAACTTTTGATGAGGTTTCCCTTTTCACCTCCATGGTACAGGCTTCAAAATGTATTAAGTATATTAAATAAAACACAAATGTGGACACACACACCCCTTATGTATAAACAGTGAAAGATACAAAGCATTCTCCTGAGAAGAGGCAAAGATGCAAGAGAAGTTTTTGTGTAGGGTTCGGACAACCTGCCATGAAACAAGAGGTTCCCAAATGGAAGTTGTTTTTTGTTTTGTTTTGTTTTGTTTCATGCAACAAACCTCGCAGGAGAATAGGAGTCCGACCCTTGGAGTTGCATTGGCTGCATCTGAACTCCCTAAAGTTCTAAGAGTTTATCATTCTATGCACAGTTCTCCCAGTGTTTCCTCCCATAAGTAAGCTGTTCCTTGGGAGAAGGAGGGACAGTTTGGGAAGTTGTATTTATTCTTTCAGGCCACGGGTAGCATATAAAGAATCCCATTCTTGTGAGCTGATCATGAGCACGTACCCACTAGCTAAGCAGGCAACCCAAAGGTGATGGGCATTTCCAAAACTCCACCATACTGATGAACCATAAAGTCACCTAGAGCAGAGGTCCCCAACCTTTTGGCACCAGGGACCAGTTTCATGGAAGATAATTTTTCCATAGGGGTGGGAGGGTGGGGGCCATGGAGCTCTGCAGCCCGGTCCCTAACAGGCTGCAGACCAGGGGTTGGGGACTGCAGACCTAGAGCACCGAAGGGACAAGGTGATTCATACTGTGACCCTTTACAATGAAATATTTTTTCCTAAGTTAAAAATCTTGGCCCCTGCATTTTAGGAAGCACGTCTTTTCCCTATAAGATGCAGTCTTGCCCTGTATTTCTGTCTCCATATACGTTACTTTTCTTTGGGTCGTGACTTCCTAACTTCCTTAACATTTATCCCTGTCCTCTATCAGAGGACTTCAAACACTGGGGAGAAAAGGAGAGTAAAGAACGAATAGCAGCTGATTAGAGAAGACTCTAATTTTTTCACTTAGCTGTAAGCAAGGAAGCGTGTGACATCATTTCTTTCCCATGTTTAAGGGCTCCCAATGTGTTCTTAAAAGTAGAAAAACATGGAATGCTCAATTCAATCGACTGCCTTCCACAGAAAGCGTTTCAATACAGTGACAGAATCACAATGGTTTTGTTCCATTAGGAGGATTTTATTTTAAAGTACACTTAAAATTTTAAATGTGTACAAATCAAAAGTTTAAAAAACTTCAAAAGCCACAGGCACAGAGTTTAGGAAGCTGACGGCTGTGAACCCGGATTCTCACTTAATCCACGCTTTATCTTGCATTCCTCACAGGTAAGCAGGCAGTGCCTAGAAGGGAAGCAAAAACAGTGGTTTGTGCTTTGACACTGGAAGCTCCAGTCTTAACACAGTATCATTTAGAGACATTTTCTATGCTAAAGTTTGATATCCTAATTTTTTCAGAAATAATAGTTGTTTCTTGGTTTAAGAGCCTCAGCATTTCATCCAATAATGGGCAGTCATGGTGGCTCACACCTGTAATCATAGCACCTTGGAAGGCTGAGACCGGAGGATGGCTTGAGGCCAGGAGTTCAAGCCCAGCCTGGGCAAGATAGCAAGACCCCATTGCTACAAAAAGTAAAAAAAATAGCCAGGCGTGGTGGTGTGCACCTGTAATAGCTCCTAGGGAGGCTGAGGCAGGAGGATTGCTTCAGCCTAGGATTTTGAGGTTGTTGTGAGCTGTGATTGTGCCGCTGCATTCTAGCCTGAGCAACAGAGTGGCATCCGGTCTCAAACAAACAAACAAACAAAAAGCCAATAACGATCTTCATGTTGAAACAGATGGTTGTATTTGTGGTCAGGGTCACACAGGGGTTGAACATCTTCATTCTTTTGGAGTTTGAGTAATTTCTACCAATAGCATAAAAACGTCATAAATACACAGTGCATTTATCCAGGAGTTAACACATGCCTATGGAGTTAGGTTTGGACACACATGTGCATTCATATACAAAAATAATTTTTTAAATTAAAAACAATTTAATGACATTTCCAGAATTCCTGGTTTATAGTTTGCCTAATTTGTTCCAGCATTTTTAGGATAATGCCAAGGAAAATGCATAGCTTCGTTCTAGAATAATATCCACACTCATGGAATAGACGTCCTCGAGGCCCTTCCCAGCACCAAAGTTTGAGAATCTTACAAACTCAATTCAACAAACAGTTACTGAGCGTCTTCTTTAAAGTCGTGCACAATGCCTTGAACGTAGTAGGAACTCATTAAATATTTATTGAGCAAATTAAATAGATAACTAAGTTAAATAATAAATAATTGTTATTGAAGTTAGATAGCAACAACGTGAAACTTTAACATATGAACTTAAAAATGCGTTTAATATTATAAATGATGAGTCATCTTTCATTTAATCTCTAATAACTGTCTTCATTACAATCCCTCGATCAAACCAATCACAGACCTGTTATGGTGCGGGCCGAACCCAGCCCCCCGCAGCTGATCTTCGAAGCGGTGGAATTTACTCTGGCACACCCCTACGTATGACACCTTCCCAAGGCCAAATCCCAAGAGGCCAGCAACTGTAAAAGCAGGTTAGGAAAGACAGATGATTTAAAGGTTCAGAATCTTTTCCATTAATTATCTTCTAGAACATTCTTTATCAACACTGGTAATTTTTATATTTAAAAGTACCACGATAAATCAATGAACAAGAATTCTGACAGTGAAGCCTCTGTGAAAGAGCAGGATTGGGAACCGGAGGCTTCTGACCTCCCCATCCTTGAACGGGTGGTCGGAGGGCCAGGGGAGTCACGGTGCCATCCCAGAGCCAGGTGAGGGGCCCAGCTGTCAAACAAATGGCTGAGACCACCAGGGGAGGTAAAGGTGGGGTCTGGGCTGTGTCTATAGGGAGCCTCCAAATCGCTGGGTAGAAAAGCCCCTTCATTCTCTTTCTGGCCTTGGAATAGTGGAGACTGGAGTCCACCTTGCCTGCACGAGAGAGGTCCCCAGGGAGAGGGACCCTCCTATGGAAGAAATCTCAAAACGGTTCCTCCTGCTGGGAATGCGGTTTCAGACTGTAAACTGGAATGCATCCTCTTTGCATATACAAGGTCTATGTATACCAAGTGAAAGAAGATGAAGCCCCAAATTTGTGGTTACTTTATTATCAGAAATTCCCTCATTTTAAAAAAATCACTCATGTTTATGTCTATTACAGGAAATGTTTTGAAAAGACTGGCCAGGCCAAAAGAAGAAAATAAAAATACCTAAGGGATCTATCATTCAGAGGCTCTGCTGTTGATAACCTTGTTATATATCCTGCCAGGTCCTCTTGGTCCGTGCTTTAAATAGCACTGCGTGACAATCCCCACGGCTAAGCTGCACATCAGAAAGTGTTCAGTGGATCAAGGAATACAAAGTGGCAGAAGATGGAGACTGAATTTTCACCTTCGGTACAGGCTTTAAGCTGGATTAAGCTGGACACTCATATCTCCAGTTGCCATAAATATCTTTTTCTTTTTTCAAAATGAATCTGCTTTTTTAATTTCTATGACTTACGTGCGACTTTAGGCAATGATCCAAATCTAGGATTAGCTGCTAAGTAACCTATGGAGTAATATTTAAAAACATTATTATTTCATTTCATAACTTATTTAAACTTATCAAGTACAAAGAAATCTTCAAATTTTAAGACATAAAATTTCTTTTCTTTTTTTTTTTTTTGAGACAGAGTCTCGCTTTTTTTTGTTGCCCAAGCTAGAGTGAGTGCCGTGGCGTCAGCCTAGCTCACAGCAACCTCAAACTCCTGGGCTCAAGCAATCCTTCTGCCTCAGCCTCCCAGGTAGCTGGGACTACAGGCATGCACCACCATGCCCAGCTAATTTTTTCTATATATTTTTAGTTGTCCAATTAATTTCTTTCTATTTTTAGTAGAGACGGTGTCTCGCTCTTGCTCAGGCTGGTTTCGAACTCCTGAGCTCAAACAATCCGCCCGCCTCGGCCTCCCAGAGAGCTAGGATTACAGGCGTGAGCCACCGCGCCCGGCCCATAAAATTTCTTAAACATATACATACTCTGAATCCAAAGAGATGATCTTAAAAGAGTTATGATTCAATTCTTGGTTGAATTTCATTCCCATTTGCCTTAAGAGCCATTTTAGGCAAATAGCAAATATTAGCTTTAATGTATAGAAAAAGAAAATGAAACAGACAATTCAAGGACGATTTAAAGATACCAAGCAAAGGTGGAGCTGACAACTAAGTTCAAAGAAATTAGTCATCACTCATCACCCTCTCCTCTTTTGAAGTATAATAACTCAACAAAGAAAGTTTCCATTTAGGGATTTACAGTGTATATCACGATTTTGAAATGAAAATATTACAACTTGTGGTAGGCAGAATCATGGCCTCCTAAAGATGTCCACATCCTAATTCCTGGAAAATGTGAATACATTATGTTACATAAAGGGGAATTAAGGTAGAAAATGGAATTAAGGTCGCTAATCAGATAATTTTAAAATAGGGAAAGAGTCTCGGATGATCCAGGTGGGCCTAACGTAATCACAGTCCTTGAATGTGAAGAGGGAATTAGAGACTGGGGAGATGGCGCGTGAGAAGCACTTAGCTTGATGTCGCTAACTTTGAAGACAGAGGAAGGGACCAAGGAATGTAGGTGGCCTCTAGAAGTTGGAAAGGGAAGCGCAAGTCCGAGAGTATTTAGAGGAAACACAGCCAGGCTGATGCTTTGCTTTTAAGCTCAGTGAGACCCATTTCAGAGTTCTGGCCTCCAGAATTCTAAGATAACAACTTTGTGTTATTTTAAGTCACTATGTTTGTGGCAATTTGTTACAGCAGCTGTAGAAAACTAATATACAACCCTGAAAAAATACATCTGCACAGATGGAAGAGATGGTAGATGTCTTAGTCCGTTTTCTGCTACTATACGAGAATACCACAGACGGGGTAATTTATAAAGAACAGATGTTCTCTGCCTCGCCATTCTGGAGGCTGGGAGGTCCAAGAGCATGGCGCTGGCATCTGGCACGGATCATCCCATGGCAAGGAAGTGCACGGGACAGAGAGCAAGAGAGGGAGGGGCCGAACTCGTCCTTCTATCAGAAACCCACTCCTGCGATAATGGCATTAATCCATCTTCCCTCATGTTCACTGGTACAAACGTTTCTTTAATCAGTGGCATCCGATGATTGGGCGTCCAATAAAATGGGCTTAAACAGGGTAAGGTGGCTGCTTGTGACCTGGGGACTAAGCAATGTCTATGGGTTCTCTGGTCAGGTGGAGAAAGGAAGAAAGAAGAGGATGAGGAAGGAAGAATAGAGAGGAAACAGGAAACTGTAAGAGGTAGGCAGGTCTATGTGGAGAGACGCAAGGCGGCTGCTGGTCCTGATGGTCCCTTGTATGAAGCAGACAGGGTGCCCTTCCTCAGGCAGCCTCTTGCCAGGACAAATGGCTTTGTGGATACAGCCTGGGGTAGATTTCAGCTCCCTCACCTCCCGCCTGGAGCACTGAACAATCTGTCTAACCACATGCAGAGGGCCTGGAGACGGGGACTCCAGCGCAGTATTAGTTTTCCATGGCTGCCGTAAAAAATGATCACAAACTTAGCGGCATGAAAACAACACAAACTTATTATCTTACAGTTCTTGAGGTCAGGAGTCCAAAATAGATCTCACTGGGTGAAAACCACTATTTTACCTGCATTCCTCAAATGGCTGCATGCCTTTCTGGAGGTCTAGGGTTTCTTGCCTTTCCAACATCTAGAGGCTGCTCGCATTCCTTAGCTCATGGCCCCTTCTCCAGCTTCAAAGCCAGCAGGGTTAGGGTTAGGGTTAGGGTTGGGGTTGGGGTTAGGGTTAGGGTTAGGGTTGGGGTTGGGGTTAGGGTTAGGGTTAGGGTTGGGGTTGGGGTTAGGGTTAGGGTTAGGGTTAGCTGAGTCCTCACACCGCCACCACTCTCATTTCGTCTCCTGATCCCGTCTTTCATTTTTAAGAATCCTTTTGATTACACTGGGCCCGCGTGGGTCACCTCAGACACTCTCCGTACTTTAAGGCCAGCTGATTAACAACCTTAATTCCATCTGCAACTTTAATTTCCCTTTGCCATGAAATCTAATATATTCATTCATTCTGGGGTTTAGGACCTCTTCTGGGGAGGCAGAAACGTAGGCTGAAAATAGGCAAAAGCGTGCATGAATAAATCCTTCACCAAAAAATAAACGCTAAGTGCCAAAAAGCTGCCAGGAAGGTCACAGAAAACTGGGCTCTCTGAAGTTCAATCATTTAACAAATATTGAATCTTACCTTGGTAGACTAGGCCCTGGGTGACGAGCATGCTTACAAGAGAAAATGGCAGAGCTGTAAAACAAAACACCCTTCAGTGTTGGTATTTTAAAGTTTGGCACTTCACCTAGAAGTCAGGGATAATTACTCTGACCTTTTTTTTCTCTTACCTTCCTTGGCAGTGAGTTTTTATTCATTCGTTACTTTACTTATTCAACAAATATTTATTAAGTGCAGCATAGATAATTTTCTGGGGATCTGCCCCGGCCACTCAACCTGACGCGCGGCATTAATACGACCAAATCTAAACCCCATAGTACTCCACGCCGACACCCACCTGTGCTGAATGCTAACACGCACCAGACCCTAATCATTCCACACAACACGGGCATCTTAGTGCACATACACGCTTAGCTAAGAATTTGGGGGTTGCCTTTAGCTCTGCTTGTATTTTGAAATTTTCAATCCTGCTTAAATGTTAAAAAGTAGTACAATAAACTCCTGCATACCCTTTATCTAGATTGATTAATTGTGAACGTTGTGCAAACATCATGACTCTTCCTCAGGTATCTTCTAAGAACAAGAACATTCCCCTACATAATACAACACTATTAGCATGGTCAAGATATTCATATTTCTTGAATAGTCAAGAAAAATTATATTAACTAATACACAATCTATATTCACATCTCCCCAATTTGGCCCAACAATGTCCTTCGTAGCTATGGGTTTTTTCCAATTCAGACAATCAGGGATCAGCAGTTACTATTTACTCTCTAATCTGCTTTAGTCTAGGACAGTTTCCTGCCTTTTTTTCTTTTTCTATTCCATTTTTTAAATTTTTTAGTCTTTCATGACATTTTGTCCTACAATTTGAATTTGCTTGAAGATCCAAATTAAAGATTACAAGATGACTACATTCGTGTTAAACGTGTGATGTTTAGCTATGGTTTTTAAAACAGGCAATTTAGTTTGGCAAAGGCAGTTTCCAGCTCTGTCAGTAAGCGTCACATGACTTGTTACAAATGCAGAGAGCAGTGATAAACATCTAGCTCTTTCTAGCTCAATCAAGAGAGATCAAATAGCAAGCAAATTTTCCACTCATAGCTACCCGATTGGTGGGAGGCAAATGGGTCACACTGAAATGTTGATCTACTAGGACCCAAATAAATGACTTACTCATGGGTTGTCAGAAATCACATGAATTCCCAGAAGAACAATCAGTAATTCTATAATGCATAATGAATATCAATTTCTAGAGAGTGTTGCTTCTAAAACAGATGATACTGAATTTGAATGACTTAAGAAATCAAATGAGTATTTCAAAGTATAAATTATCCTTACATCAGAAATATTGCAAAATATTCGGACTATTTCAGACGTTCTACTCTTTGAGAGTCAAGAAATCCTAAATAATACTCTTGGTACCGGTTCTTGGTCACATAAAGGAAAGAGTTATAGGGGCATCACTTTTTGTCAAATGAGATAAAATGCTCCTTAATTGGTTATTATCTCTGCCCTGAAAAAGGTCTTAACATGGATTTAAACTCTAGACATCCCCAAACATCAGCGTTCTTCAGGGATTTATGCAAAGTCCCTGCTTAAAAAAAAAACCATCACCACAATTCTAATATAATAATTAGGCAGTTTATTGCAGCAAATATAGCGTTAGCTAAGATTAAGAAGGGTGCAATTACCTCTCTTCCAGAAACTTTCTTCTTGACATTCTCGCATAATCTTTGCAATCTCTTCCCTGTGAATGTGCAGTTTCGATTTGGGACAAAACAGCAGGCTCTGTAAGGAAGGTTACATGTGAGTTAGCCAAGATCACCAGAAAAGCATCCGCTTTGTGTTCTCTGGAGGAGGACGCGGAGGTCTCCTCACTCGTTACTCCAGGCGGGCGTTCTGTGCCAGGGGCCAGCCCACGGCAATGACCAGTTTACGCGATAGATCGCTTTCCAGCCGGGAATGCTGATGGATTTAGGCAAGGAGAGAATCCCAGCTGGAGAGTCGGAGTGATTCACCCATTAACGTGCCTGGAGCAGATGTCTGGTCAGGCTGATTGACTGCGGAGGCCACGTATCCTTTCTTACCTCCATGCTTCTGGCAATGTGCTTCACTATGTCTGGAATGCTAGTCACTCCCTTCCTACCTGGGCTTAAGCTCCAATCAATGTCGCCTCCTGGGTGGAGAGAGAGATTCCCCCTACAGCACAATACTTAAGACATCGGGCATCACACTCAAAGCATTGTAATGAAAGTTTTCCATTTGCATGTGCTTTTGTATGCATTCTTAGACTACGATCTCACCAATGGACTGCTTTTTATTATTCTGTAATACATAGTTTCCTTTCAATCTTGACAGGTTTTCTTTTACATATTTATAAGTGTTATACACATAATTTCGGATGCAACTATGAACATGGTTGACAATTATTTTTACTAGTTGTACAGTATTTTTTTTATCATGTTGATATGCTATAATCTGGACCAACTCCCATCTTTCATGATCCCTCTCCTTTGTAGGTGTGTCTGTATTATTCACTCATCTCATTTACATTCCACTCCCATTCCTCTCTGCCCATCACAACCATTCTGGATATCTAACGTGGATCTTGTGTTTCTGCGCATTCTTGCAAAATGCTCACTGTTTCGGGGGCAAGCATCGTTTTTATGTAAATGGTGCTGTTTTACATACTTATTTTATTCTTAAAATATTTTCAACTCAGCTCTATGCTTTTAAGATCCATCCATGCTGCTAGTCCACTGCTTCCAACTGCTGCATAATTCTCCACTTGCCTTAGTCCACACCGTCTTACGTTCCCCTACAGACCCTCGTGAGAGCATTTTTCAGGTGTGTCTCTAGAAGTCAAATTTAGGGCCTGAATATTCTCAGTGTGACAAGTCTTGCTAGACTGCTGTCCCCAATGGTGCACCAGTCTCCACTCTCACCAGCAGGGCCAGAAAGTTCCTTTGTGGCTACACAGCCTGCATAAGAGCTAGTTACGAGTAGAGAAGATTCCAAGCAAGTTAACGAAAAGATTTTGTAACACTGGAATTTTCCAGTTTTCTAAGCTGATAGGTATGAAGTAATATTTTGTTGTCTGGTTTGCATTTCTTTGATAACTAATGTGTTCGAGTATCTTTGCATATGCTTCAGCCAGGCTGCCTTCCTCCTCTAGTGTTGAGCCAATCCCTGCAACCGATTCAGGTTGCAATCTTTTGTTATATACTGGCTCATTCAATATTTCGTGGTAAAATACACATAACGTAATATTTATCATTCTGATCATTTTAAAGTATACAATTCAGAGGCATTGAGTACATCCACAGTGTTGTGTAACCATAGCCGCTACCTAGTTCCAGAACTTTCTCATCAGCCCAAAAGGAAAGCCCAACCCATTAAGCAAACTCTCCTCGTTCCCTCCTCCCTCTGGCCTCCTGGCAACCACTCATCTGCTTTCTGTCTCAATGGCTTTGCCTAGTCTGGACATTTTATACAAGTGGAATCATTTTGTAGCTGGCTTCTTTCCCTGTGCATAATATTTTCAAGGGTCATCCATGTGGTAGTAAATATTAGTATTTCATTCCCTTTTATGTCTCAATAACATTCCATCGCATGGATATACCACATTTTGTTAATCCATTCATCTACTGGCGGATATTTTGGGGTCGTTTCCACCTTTCGGCTATTGGGAATAGAGCTGTTACAAACATTCCTGAACAAGTTTTTGTTTGAACACCTGTTTTTAATTCTGCTGAGCCTTATAGTAATTCTGTGTTTAACTTATTGAGGAATTGCCAAGCTGTTTTTCACAATGTCTGCACCATTTTACAATCTCACCAATAATATATGAGGGTTTCAATCTCCACATCCTTGCTAACACTTGTTATTTTCTATTTGTTTTTTTTTAATTATGGCCATCTTAGTGGGTATGAAGTGGTATCTCATTGTGGTTTTGACCTGCATATCCCCAATGACTGCTAACATTGAACATCTTTCCATTTACTTGTCAGTCACTGGTATATCTTCTTTAAAGAAGTACTATTCAAGACCTTTGCCCATTTTTAACTGGGTCGTTTGTCTTTTTGTTGTTGAATTATAAGGGTTCTTTATATATTCTGGATCCTAGACCCTTATCAGATATATATATTTTGCAAATAACTTCCCAATTCTATGGTGGTTCCATCAATTTTGAAAAAGTAAATTTTATCTAATTTATTATTACAAAATTCATACTTGTATTTCCTTGTTTGTGCATTATTTAGGTAGGTCCTTTGCCATTTATTTCTCACAGTTTTAGTGTTTTTCTTGTTGAGTCAGCTCTTTGGCTTTTGGAGTTTACTTTTCCCTTGCTGATTTTCTACTGTTCTTTTTTAGACTGTTTGCAGTAGATGTTGATTGGATTATGGCCACCATTTCTCGAGCACGTTCCACGGGCTGGCCACTGCGCCAAGCTACTCTACACGCATGCTATCAATGAACAGGGCGGACGAAACCTGCAGCACCTGTGCCTGTGGAGCTCTGCAAGCAGCACGAGCAGGCAACCTCCCTGTTCTCTCTTTGTAACTCCCCATGGCACGGAGCAAAAGCTCAGTGAGTCACAGGGTGAGTCATAGCAGCAGAAGAAGGAGCTGTTTTCACTCTTCACTTCCCTCAATTCCTTAGCACAGGCGTGTTCCTCAGCAAACATGCCTCTATATGCCCAGTGCTGACATTTGCTCTTGCTTCCTGGCTGTGGCTGTCACGGAAATAAGGAAGACCCCTCTCCCCATATACACACATATATACACAACCAACTATCGCAATGGCTGGGAGTCCTGCAGTCAAGATCAAAGTTCCAGCAGAGTCTCCCAAAAGCAGCTCTAGTGACATTTTTCTTACAGCCATAGATGTTTGGTGGCTCTCCATTTCACAGATGCAACTCGGGTATTCGAATTCTTCTCCTGGTGACTTGATATCATTTGTCTGTCTGCCTCTCCTAAACGTTGCTCCTTAAACATTACTTCCTCCATGCACTCTTTCTTATCTGGAACATGAATTCCATTTACCCATCAAATACTTTCTCTTTTTTTCATTTACGTGTTCCTGAAACACATAATATTCATTCCTAACAAGTTGAAATATTGTGTCAACGTGAACGTGTGGGTTCTCAATCTGGTGGCTAACTCGTAATTAAGGACTCTGCCATCCTGAACAGGAACATCTGTCAGCAACGTGGGATTAGTATAATTACCCCCAGTGACAAAAATGTAAAAATAAACAAAATGGATCATTCTGCTAGATTCAATTAAGAGTTTTGCTTTGCTACAGGAAACCACTTTAGTCGCTGACAGTTTACATGAGAGTTACTTAAGGTGAATTTTAAACAGGAAAGAGTAAAGAAAGGATTTTGTAAATAAAATTTTAAAAATACTTCTTTTCAAGGCAGCCAAAAAGACACCTTCCTTCCCCATTCCATTTTCCTTGAACCTATCCAGCAAAGGAACAGACTGGAAAATACAAGTAAGATGACCGGTCAAGGACGAGGTTTAACGAAAGCCCTGTTTGATATTTCTCTTCGGATGGCAGGCCCCCCAATTAAAAACATACCTGCTTGCTTGGAGGTGGAAAATGGGGACCTTTATCTTGGTTTCCATGAGTAGACATCGAAGCCATGACGACTTTGTGCTTGTTCTTCTAGTTCAGTGTTCTCTGCTGACTCCTTGACCCAGTGTCTAAGGAAAGTAGAAGAGAATCGCTACGCCAGGACTGAATGTTTACACCAAACTTGAAAAACACCCTCAGTATCAACTGCACTTATTGGGAAAACTTATTTTCATTTTGTCATTAGTCCATCTGCAAACTCAATTTCTTTTTTTTTTTTTTTTTTTTTTTGAGACAAAGTCTCACTTTGTTGCCTGGGCTAGAGTGCCGTGGTGTCAGCCTAGCTCACAGCAACCTCAAACTCCTGGGCTCCAGCGATCCTCCTGCCTCACCCGAGTAGCTGGGACTACAGGCATGCGCCACCATGCCCGGCTAATTTTTTCTATTTTTAGTTGTTTGGCCAATTTTTTTTTTCTATTTTTAGTAGAGATGGGCTCTCGCTCTTGCTCAGGCTGGTCTTGAACTCCTGAGCTCAAATGATCCGCCCGTCTCGGCCTCCCAGAGTGCTAGGATTACAGGCGTGAGCCACCGCGCCCGGCCCCAAACTCAATTTCTAATGCTCCTCTTCCACCAGCACACGCACAGTGACTCCCTAAGGGTGGCAGATCAGATTTAGAGCAAAGTGAAATGTCACACTGTGCACAGTGAAATGTTTCACTGCCTATAAATTGTGTCCTTAAAAAAAAAGTCGAAGTTCATTCCAAGGTCATTAACTACACAAATCCTTACTGAGTACCTATTACGGGCCAGGCCAGAGGGTACGAAGCAGGATGAGACAAAATCACTGCTGAAGGATCTCTCAGTCGAAAAGGGAAGACAGGTTAGTCAAGAGTTGCACAACGTGAAAAGGGTTCCCTGCCTAGAGGTACGTACAGATGCCGAGGGAGGAGAGGAAGAAAGGTCCATTCCATCGAGTCAGGTCACCAAAAGGACTAAGACTCCAGAGCTTGCCAGGGGGTCTGTAGAGGGTGGGTGGACTGCCAGGGCAGGAGGACCAGGGCGGGAGGTAATGCAATAGTCCGGGCAAGGAGCTACGGAGACCTGAACAAAGACCCTCGTGGGAAGGACAGAGATGATAAATTTGGGATTGGAGATGTTGGATTTGGTGCCTGTGGAGGCAAACAGTGGAATTAGCCAGTAGAGATTAGAATATCTCAGGATTCAGGTCTGGAGTTCCAGATCAGGGGCAGGCTGGAGAGATGAATCGGGGAATTGCTATCATAGAGATGAGAGTTAAATCATGGAAGGTGAATAAATTTGTCTCATAAGAATGTTGGAGAATGTGAACATCGAGCCCAAGGGAGTATCAACAAGAGAAGGAAAAACAAAACAGGCCAAAGAAATGACTGAGAGCAAATAGGTGATACAGAGGACAGAAGGAAATGAATCATCAACAGTGTCACATGGCCCAGAAAAGTGGACCCTGGATTTGGCAATGATGGACGTTCTCCAAGTGGACTCTGAGCCTCCTCCTCTCCTCTCACCCAATGGCCACTGCATTCTGCAGCCCTGGACTCCACGGCGATCACCGATTTCTCTGCAAAATGAGCATCTCACGGCACACAATTCTGTTTCCCACATTAGTTACTAAACTGCAAGGCGTATGAGCCAAGGGGACCCCTACTTCCACCACACTTCACCTGAGGCGCCTAATGTCATTGCAGAGGCAGCACGGTGCCCTGCAGCGGAAAGTCCTGGAGCCAGAAAAACCGGAGTTCAAATCCCGACTGCACTCCTTGCTAACCCTGTGTTTTGGGGCAAATGACTTGATGTACCTATACCTTGATTTTCTCACCTGTGAAGTGGGTGTGACGGACACAGCAATCTTGAGGGGCTGTTGCAAGGACGAGGGATGAGGGATGAGGTCCACACCGCCTCGGCTCAGCTCCCAGCACACGATGCCTGCGTGAGCAGGAAGGGACAGCTCTCAGAGTGGCCCCGGGCACCTTATTTCTTGAGCATCCTCAGGAAGTCTCTGCTGACTTAATTATTAATAGATTAAGTTTGCTTAGTCAGGCATTAGGCCACTGCCCCAGATCGGGAAGCAAAGATACGGCACCACCTCAATTTTGGTGGAGAGGTTCCCTTGTACCCAATTAATCCTCAGTCCACATCTACGCAAGCCTTGTAGGTGCAGCTCCCACCACCCACGCCCGGGTCTGGTCCGCCTGCTGCTGCGGCGGCAGGGAAGCGGGGACACGGGTGCTGACCGGTGGGCGCGGGGAGGAAAGTGCGCCGCAGGACGGGGGGTGCTTTAGGATGGACGCGAAGGGGGCGCGGGGCAGGACGGACAGCGGGAGGGGGCTTCCGATGGGGAGGAGGGAAGCCGGGAATCGGTCTGCTGGAATCCGCGCCCCCGACCCCCGCCCGAGGCAGCCCGCACCAGCCCAGCGCGCCCCGCTCCCGCCGGCCGCAGAGGGTCGGTCGCCCCCGAGCCCGCGCCAGGGCGGGGTTGGAAGGCGGCCACCTCCGCGCTGCGCAGCCTTCAGAGGGCTGTCCTGCCCGTGCCCGTGTCCCTAGGGCCCCGGAAGCAAAGCAGGCCGGGGAGGCCACCCCCTCCCGCTGTCCCCATTCCCTTATCCCGGTCGGGGCTCACCTGGCGGGGTGGGATCGCCCCAAGGCCGCGTCCCCGGCGCCCCGAGCCGCGCTGGCCTCCTCCCGCGCCGGCCTCCTCCCGCGCCGGCCTCCTCCCGGGCTCCTCCCCTCCCGAGCCCCTCGCCGGCCTCCTCTTACTCTCTGGCTCCGCCCGCTCACCTCGCCGCTCGGCGCGCGCCCAAGTCAGCGACCAGGCGTCCCCACCCCGCCCCCGCAGTCCCTTTCTCTGGGGACCGAGAGAGGCCGAACCCTCCTGGCTCCTGCCAGGAGCCCCCGCCGCCCCTCCCAGCCTTGTCCTGGCGCCTGGCACAGTCTGACTCCTTCCTCCGACGACCGCGGCTCCCTGGGCCGGGCGTCTGTGTCCCGTCATCTGCAGACCTCTTGACAGCCCTTCGCGCGAGGCCACTGCCCTCGTCTCAATCGCGAGGCCGCGCGGGGAGCCTGGAGTCCACCAGGGCCTTGGCTCCCAGGCCTTCTCCTTCCACGGCGCTTTGTCCATCCCGTCCCCACCCCCAGCCTCTGACCTGTGGGGGTGTCCTTGCCACCCACATTCACCCCGACCTCGGGCTCCTGAGACTCACGTGGAGCGTGCTGAGTTGCAGAAAGGTGGTGGCCACAGTTGAAGGCCCTTGTCGTTTGCCACCTTCCCCACTGTGCTAATCGGTCTCCCTGTCTGCTGCTTACATCCTCGCAGCTCTGTTCCCGGTGGAGCCCTCCCCCTGCCGGGGACCCTCTCCCCACTGTCCATGCGGTGGCTTTTCCTACTCCTGCTTCCCGGTGGTTCCTCAGGAAGCCCTAAGGCGGCCCTCCGCCCCAGGGAATGCAGCCTCTCTTCTTTTTCATAGCACCGGATGCTACTGTTTTCTTTCAGAGCACTTATCACAAGTTGCTCTTACATACTTACTAGTGTATTGATCTGTTTAAAGCCTATTCATTTCCCCTGCTTCAGTGCAATCACCATTAGGCACAGAACAAGATGGTATCTGTTCTGCTCCTCCCTGTGCACGTAGCATCTCGTCATTAGGCACAGAACAAGATGGTATCTGTTCTGCTCCTCCCTGTGCACATAGCATCTCGGATCTAGAAAGGGCTCAGTAGATAATTGTTGAACAAACAAATGGGTAGATGAGCCTGGGATCAAAGACTGTCCAGACACTATTGTTTTGGAGGGGGTGCGTTCCCTAGGAGGGTCCCCAGACCACGTTCCTCCATGCCATTCGCTGGTTCCTCACCCTGGTTCCCCAGTGAGTTTCATTTTCTTTTCACCCCATTTTCCCCACCAAATTAAAGGGGATATGGTTCTGTTGCTAATTTCACATTGGGTTATCAGAAGTCAGAAATAGGCTTCTGCCATTTTGTGGGCTGAATGCAACGGCTTTGTAGTTGGTTTTGTGATGTAAATGAATAGCTCTCAGTTACGCTGAAGTCTAACTTCAACATCTTGCCATGGTGTGATCGTGTCCCCACCCTCATCTCTGCTTGCCACCAGAATGGTCCAGTTCACGCCCCTAAATAGCTGGAAGTTATCATATGTAATGTACATGGATTATGTCTACTTGGCATGTGTTGGGCAAATCTGATGTGTCCGTGTGTTGTTCTATTGCACTTTCAGAGATAAAAGAGAAAAGACGTGGGTCTTTCCCACAAAGGATTCATCACTTCCCAAGGAGCTAGAATGAAATAAAATATACTCGGCCCTAGAAGTCTCTAACACCGAACGGAGCCTGTCTTCGGCTTTGCTTCAGCATCCAACAGGGCCTCGGGATCATGACTGCAAAGTTAATTATCACTGGCTGATGCTATGAAAAATGGGGTTGATTTAGAAAGTGCCAGACTGTTCACAGCAGGCTCCAGCTTGGACTCTTTCCGCAGCCCTTTATTGTCCTCGAGCAAGGTCCAAATTCAACAGCAGGGCCCCGCGGATTCAGCTCTTGCCTGCCTCTCCAACACATCTATGTTATCTTAGGCCCTGCAAGGGCCCTGTGAGTGACTAATAGTCTCTCCTCTCGTGCTTTAGCAAGTGCTGTAGCTTCAGCCTGAATCCACCTTCCTCTGCTTCTCCGCCGTCTCTCACTCGTTTTTAAAGACTGGGCTCTGGGGTCGCCCCTCGGAAGCCCAGCCAGACTCAAGTTTAGTCTCCCCTACGTGTTGTACATATGTATATGTGTGTGTGCTTATATATGTATCTATTATGCATGGATATGTATGTAACGTAATGTTCATAACTGACATGCATTAAACACTGTGTGCTAGGCGCTCTTCTGTCTTCTGGTCTTTTGTTACCTTTTTTTTTAGAAATGAGGTCTCGCTACATTGACCAGGCTGGAATGCGGCGGCTGTTCACAGCTATGATGGGAGCGCGCCACTGCACCTGGCTTCTCTGGTCACTTTTTAACTCCAGCCCTGCAGCAGTCCCACAAGTGGTGCCAATAGCTTACTCAGTCCCCCAGCCAGGAGGTGGCAAAAGTGGAATTTTAACCTGGGCTCCAGAGCCATGAGCCTCACAGAAGTGCCACCTTGCTGTCCCTCAGCTGTCATATCTGTTACAGCCTCTGATGTCATTCATTTGTCATCCCCCCTTGACTGTGAGCTTCTTGAGGACAGGAACTGATCTTTTTCAGTGACTGGCACATCGTATGAACTCATGAATGGCAATGAGGATGAATGAATTTAATAAGGCACAATAGAAAGTGAGTGAGGCGTGGTCTTTTATTCCAAGAGGCTCGGCTGGTGCAAAGGTAGTGAGTTATCTCACTTGATTGTTCACAGTCAGTTACAGATCGAACTCCTCGTTCTACTACTTCCCCCCTCCTCACTACTGCACGTGACTAGTCTTAAAAAGACAAAAAATAACGAAAAAAAAAAGAAAAAATCAAGAGGCTCACCATCTTTCTTTTTGCTCCCTTCTTTCCTTCTTTCCTTTCTTAACAAACTAGTTGCAGGCCTTTTAAACGACCCTAGAAATGCATACTATTATCCCAACTTTACAGGTAGGAAAACCGAGGCTCAGAAAAGTTAAGTGACATGGCCAAGGGCATAGCTGGGAAGGGACGCAGCCAGGACCCCGACCGCCATGGCCTGGCTTCAGAGCTCCTGCTCTTAGCCTCTGCGACATGCCATGTCCCCAGTAGCCTCACAGGGTAGAGGAGCACTTGACTGATGCCCAAGAAGAGACAGGCACAAGGCACGGGCGCCGGGGCAGCAGGGGTGAGGCAGGAGGGAGATCTCCGCGGTGTGGCTGGCTGAAGAGCAGGCCCTAGCTGGGGAGGGGTGGGGATGGATTAAAACAAAATGCAGGCGAAATCTAGATCAGGGCCACCGGGAGCCCGGCCTCACCCACCCCACCTCTTCCTGCTCTGTAAAAGGGGCGCTGGCTGGTTTCCTGGTGGGGGGAGGAGGCACCTGCGACACCCAGAGATGGCAAGAGCAGCCCTCACCCTCCTGCCATCCTTGTCCTTGTCCCCGCTCTCCACTTGCCCTCCGCCTACCTCTGCGAGCAGCTGTGTGAATCACAGGGTCTTGTGAGTCACTCCTTCCCTCTCTGAGGAATAAATAACGTCAAGTCCCACCAAACCCGAGCAGCCGGGTTTAAACGAGGTGTCGCAGGAGACGGAGCGCAGGTTCTGCTTTCCCTTGTGAACTGGCACCGCCGTCGGGCAGGGCAGGGCGCCAGCTCTCGGCTGGAGCTTTTGGGCCATCAACTCAGAGTCGTGCCGCTTCAGTCTCATCTGGATTTGATGTTCCGAATGCCAGACTCGGCGAGAGGCAAAGCGGGCCCCAAAGATCATAAGTTTGGCCCCTATGGGGAAAGTCTGAATGATGAAGATGAGCGAGCATGGATTTGCTCGGGTTTCCAATCTTCCTCGAGGCTGGCCTATCCTTCACTGCACTCACAAATGCTGAGAAGGGACGTCCCCAAAGCAAATCGACAACCTCAATATTCCAGAACTACTTTCTACAGCCCGACATGCAAAGCCCTTGAATGCAAGAAACAGAATGCTCCTGGTGCTGTCAGTCACCTCTTGTGGCAGATTTTTGGGCCTCATTGCAAGTGTTATCTTCATAACCTGGTACCTGTCCCAAGCCTCTCTCTGGAGCAGCCTCCCCCCCTGGCTGCGGTGAGGGTGGGAACAGAGCGGTTTGATTTTCTGGTGAAAGTTACAACAGGCTGTAGATGCAAGCCGCAGATTTGGCCCCTTGCAGGGCATAATTCCATTTTATTCTATTTATTTTATTTATTTTTTTTTTTAGAGAAGGAGTCTCACTCTGTCTCCCAGGTTGGAGTGCAGTGGCATGATCATAGCATTTTAGAAGAGAGGTTTATTGATCAAAATCTAACTGATAGAAGGTTGGGGGAAGACTTGCTTTTGGAGAGGAATTTTCTAGAATACCTTCATCACTCTAGTCAGCCCTCTTTAACTCACTTGCCTCAGCATGAGGGCAACAAGCGCCGGTAGCCCGGCAGTCGGCTGGGGAAGGTCGCTGGGCCTCGGCTGTAACAGCCGCAGGTGGTTCGATTCCAGCTTCCCTCCACATAGCACCTCCCAGGGCATCGCCACACCGTGTCCACCTACCGCCACCACCAGACACCTGCGCGCTCTGCCGTGGGAAGGCCACACTTACTCTTTGGGTCTCATCGAAGATATCCATGGAGCCCAGAGATTTAGGGCATGCACTCGGGTCAGACTGCCTGGCTCCGATGATAGCCCCGCTCTCTGTATTAAGAATTGGTTGGCGCAGTTCCTCGCACGCCTGCAGGACACGCTGTTCAAGGACTCATCACCTCTTCCTCCAGGGAAACCCTCCCCCCCAGCCTCTGGGGCGGGGGTCCTTCCTCTGTGCTGTGTGTAATGAACTCTTTATTTGCCTCTATTCTAGGATGCGAGATACCTGAAGGCAGGAACTGTCTTTTGCACCTCCACCTCCGTGGCTGGAAACGGCATCGAGATATTACTTTAAGTTTTGCACACTTTCAGCAGCCTGAAGGGAAGACAGGTATTCTCCCTTCTCTATTCTAAGGAAGTTGCCAAGGGTGCCCTTACCTCCAGGATTGCTAATGACTTGGCACTGTAA